CCCCATTTTCATTCGAAGGAAATTTGGGTTGTATTTTGGGACATTTTGGGTGATACGTTTGAAAACTTTTTGAGAATCACTGGTCTGGTATCTTTACTTTCATATGCACCCTAATATGAATTTGATCCTTTTTAATTGATTCTAATAAGAATCTAATCTTATGGTTTCTCATAATCAAGTATTTAAACCAGCAAGTTTACAGAAATATCACTAGATGTAGTAACTAGATCAGTTTATTTTTTATTACTGGTTAATTTCATGTTGACATATAAAATCTAAAAGCTATGTTTATGTTTATATTCCAAAATCCTAGACAATATAATAAAAATATAGTACAATAATATAGTGTTACGAATATCAAGTAACAAAAAAAATTACATACTAATATTATTATTGCACCAAATGATAAATAAATGACATTAGTACCCCGCTTGTGTAAATATAGTTTGGTTAAGAAAGAGTTTAATTATATATAGAAGTTATATATTTGATAATAATAAATATGAATGACTCCGAGTTGGCTTACGGAACCACATTATCAACTGAATCCATGAAAGTTATTGCTGAAAGTATAGGTGTAGGATCGTTGGCTGATGATGTAGCTAAAGAATTGTCAGATGAAGTATCTTTTAGGTTAAAAGAAATTATACAAGACTCTATTAAATTCATGCATCATTCCAAACGGCAAAAATTATGTACATCAGATGTTGATCATGCATTGAGGATAAAGAATATAGAGGCAAGATTAATTTAATATTTCATTACCATTTCATAATTAATCTTTTATCAAAATTAAATATTTCTCTTGCAGCCCCAGTATGGTTTTGTTCAACAAGACTTCACACCATTCAGATTTGCGTCTGGTGGTGGTCGTGAGCTTCATTTCATAGAGGAAAAAGAATTAGATATATCTGATATTTTGTCAGCTGCTGCACCAAAGTTACCACTTGAAGTGTCATTACGTGCACATTGGTTGTCTGTTGATGGAGTTCAACCAACTATTCCTGAAAATCCTCCGCCTCAGTCTAAAGAGTCTCAAAAACTGGTAACTATTAATTTCTTTTAGATATTTTAGATAAAGTTTTTATCTGTATTGTTTCGAATAGCATATTTTTGGTATATTTCATCATTCTGTTCAGATATAAGTTCTCTAGACAACAGTTGCCAATTTAATGAATCATTTCGGTGTATGTGTAACTATCTTTTTACTTTAGGATTCTGTGGACCCAGTTGCTAAATTATCTAAAGCTTCTGGAAAAGATAAAGATATGGCTGGTAAGCCAACAACTGGAAAGTTACAAAAACTTAGAAATGTAGAAACGGTGCATGTAAAACAGTTGGCAACACATGAATTATCTGTTGAACAGCAATTATATTACAAGGAAATAACTGAAGCTTGTGTTGGAAGTGATGAAACTCGAAGAGCTGAAGCGTTACAAGTAACAATACAGAATTGTTTAATAAATTCTTATTTAGTTCTCAAATTGTTAATTATAAATAATATTTTAGTCTTTAGCATGTGATCCTGGACTTCATGAGATGCTTCCAAGGATGTGTACATTTATTGCAGAAGGTGTTAAAGTCAACGTTGTTCAAAACAATTTGGCATTACTAATATATCTCATGAGAATGGTTAAGGCGCTTCTAGATAATCCAGCTCTTTATCTGGAAAAATATGTAAGTATTGTTGTTTTTAGATCAATTATGTTTTGTCTATCAAAGTAATATCCTATTTACACATTTTCAATTAATATCATAATTTAAGGTGTTTCTATTTTTTGAGGAAGAAAAATATTAACAATTCGCATTATAAATTATGGTTGAAGTTAGTGATATATTTTAACCGGTTGTTTCTTTTAGCTTCATGAATTGATTCCATGTGTTTCAACATGCATAGTTTCTAAGCAACTATGTATGCGGCCTGAATTAGACAATCATTGGGCTTTGAGAGATTTTGCAGCTCGTCTTATGGCACAAATATGCAAAAATTTCAATACAACTACAAATACTGTGCAAACAAGAGTTACAAGATTGTTTTGTAAAGCGTTGCAGGATAATAAAACTCCTTTGGCATCTCTTTATGGTGCAATTGAAGGTCTTTCAGAACTGGGAAGTGAAGTTGTGAAAGTAATGTGAAAACATATTAAATGTGCATAATGAATGATAAGATATTTAATCTTGTTTTTACTACATTTACAGGTATTTATAATACCAAAAATCTTAGAAATATCAGAAAAAATTGAAACTTGCTTTCAACCTAATCAAGGTGGTCAAAACAATGCAGACAAAATTGCTGGTGACAGGATAAAACAATTAGTAACTAAAACAGCTGCCCCAGTTATTAAAATGATTAGAAATCCTCCAGACATAGTTGAAGAATACAAGTATTGTTTATTTTCTTATTATTGCTGATTTTTAGAAGAATTTAACAGAAATAGTTTTTTTTTTTTTTTTTGCAGAAATGATTATGGTTACTTAGGCCCTGCTCTGCATTCAGCTGTCCACAAAGCTAGATCTTCTGTAACTGTAGCAAATGTAGCACCACCAACATGCACCGGATCTAGCGGTGTTTCTATTATACCTAACACACCATGTCCTACATCAGGAATAAGGTACTTTATACTTTTAAAAAAAAAATCATATATTGAATGCTTTGTATTGTTTTGGGTCTTGAACATTAACAAATCAGATTCTTTAAGCTATTATTTTTGATCATCTAGATCATTGCCATCTTCTGGATCATCTAATCTTGGAAATCTAGCTTCACCCCAAGCACCTGGTACCCCAAGATCAGTGTTGGTTGGAAGTGGTGGTTCTGCATCGAGTCAAATAATAAGAACACCTGGACAAAGTCAACAAAAATATGTTATTGTGGCACAATCAAGACCACAAACACCTTCATCCGGTGAGAATGATATTTATTAACAATTTATATAAGATTAATAAATATCATAATAATTTGTTTAATAAATAAGCTTTTAATGTATCGACTGACAACTATTCGATGCATACATTGTTACATTTGAAAAATGATTTAAGAGAAACATATCCTAATTAATATCTCTCAACAGTAGTTTACAGGGGTAATATCTCACTTCCGACCCTCAACAATCCTCTGCTCCTTCCTGGAATGCCTGGATCAGTTTGTATTCAAGCACCCTCAATACTTACAAAACCTAGAATTCCAATTCCTAGAAATGCAACTTTGCCTATTTGCTTCCCTATATCCAAAAAAGACTGAATGAATAAACAAGGAAAGTATGAAATATGTTAATAGTTGAAACGAAGAAATATTACCAGATTATTACTTATAATTAGTTTTTCAGCTAAATTTTTGTTTTTACTAGCATTATCATCAATATTTGTAGTTATGTTTACTAATGATTTATATCTTTTTATTCAGGAAATGTTCAGTCTCAGACACCTACTAACACTCCTTCACCAGGTGTAGTAAAGTATGGGTCAAATCTTTCGAATCAGATTCAACAAATGCAGCCAGTGACACAAAATATACAAACAGTACAAAGCCAACAAAGTCCTGCCATTCAACATACTCAACAACATACTTTAGTGCAAATGCAACAACAGGCAAATCAAAATACAAGCCAAAAAACACCAAAATTAGTAATGGTTAGTCACTCTGGACAAAGTTCTCCATCTGTAAGCCAGGTACATGCGCACATGCATAATTGAAAAAAAAAAAGAATAAGAATATTTATGGAGAATTTTTTGTTGTAGGCTCCTGCATCAGTAGTGCCCAAACCAATCTTTATTGGTCAAGGCAGTGCTCCTCCTCCACCTGAACTAGATGATCTTTCGCATTTAGCTTAATTTTTCCTTCAAGAATTAATTCCAGATAAATATATTATATATCAATTATACAAATTTTTATAATGTGTTCAAGTTGACCATGGCCAAGATTTACCTAATTTTAAAATAAAAATTAAAAAAAATATCTATCTTTCTGTTTATAAGGAACGCAATCATAAAAATTTGTTTGAAATGCTCATGCAAAAGTGTTTAAAAAAACTTATTTATTTATTTATTGTTATGCTGATCTTATCAGTTTAATGCAAACTTTGGAACTGTTTCAATAAGAATAATATCATAATAGCATATTTAATTGTTTAAAATTTAAATGGATTTAATTAGATGAATGTATTTTCATGATAGCGAAACTAATTATATTAAATAAAGCTATGAATATTTAAGGGCACTGAAAGTGAACAATTGAATCATAAAATCTTTTAAATCAAATACTTAAAATAAATGAAAGTCTAAAACACATAAAAAACTTTGATCAGTGTGCACATTATAAAAAACAAAAGACTAGTACAAAAAATTATTATTTGTAAAAGTAATATTGGATAATTTATTGTCAAAAATGTCTAGAAGAAAATCTAAATCTAATGATGATTATTCCCAAGATTTACCCATTGAGACAATGGCATTAAAATCCAGCACTGATAAAAATATTAAGGATGTGTCGTGTACCCCAAGCTGCTCTGAAGGTCCTGGGCCTGAGTGTGAAGAGAAGCAAAATGGAAATGGTGGCAATGGTAGTAATGGTAATGGTAGAAAATATCGAAATGGAAATGGAGAAAATATCAAGCTTGAAACTATCCCACCAGATCCAAGATGGCCGAATGCAAATGTGGTAAATATTCAAATATCCATCATAGATTATATTATTTATATAATAAATATATATTTTTTATTAGATATAATAATCAAATAATCATATCTTCATCAAGTTCTAATAAATTTTAGACCAATTATTGCTTCATGATGTATGTTGATTATCATCGATGCATTAGAAAGAAAGGTGATGATTATGAACCCTGCCAATATTTTCAAAAGGCCTACAAAGGTTTATGCCCTGTTGAGTGGTTTGAAAGATGGGATTCACAATTAGAACAAGGTACGTTTCCCAGAAAATTTGAAGAAAAGCAAGAATCCTAATGAAGATTTTCCAAAATGATTTTATTGTTCCCTTTAGATCAAACATTTTTCCATAAAATGTTATACAAATTTATGTAAGTGTAAAACTCTTTATTATAATATTTTATTATAATTACATAATCAAATTGCCAGATTTGCATGTTTTTTCTTCCTATGTGTACTTAAACTACTACTTCGAGCAAATTTTTTCATACAGATTTTGCATTCAAAATCTTTTCTCTTTGTATGCACAACTTGATGTGCTTTAAGGGTATTATAGTGTGTAAAACTTTTTGAGCATGTGGAACAAGAAAAAACTTTTAAGCCCGTATGAGTGCGCATATGTGAGTTTAGAGCAGCTGCATTAATAAAACTTTTATCACATGTATTGCATTGATATTTTTTATCTCCTGAATGAATTTTCATGTGAGTTTTCAAGTTAGATGATAATGAGAATTTTTTTAAACAAATGGCACATGAAAAAGGCTGTTCACCAGTGTGGCTTCGATTATGCTGCCTCAAAGCACTTGCTGTGTAAAATGTTTTTGAACATGATGTACATTTATGATGTTTACTGCCAGAGTGTGTCAAGATATGTACTTTAAGATTACTTTTTTGTGAAAATGATTTGGAACATATTGTACAAGCATAAGGTTTTTCATGATTATGAATTCGAATATGTGCCTTTAAAGAAGATATAACTGCAAATGCCTGTCCACAAACATCGCAAATAAATGGCCTTTCACCTGAGTGAGACCGTATATGGTTTTTGAGATTTGTTTTCACATTAAAACCTAAAATAAATTTTATAACATTTATATCAATTACATATTGATGGGATTATTTAAAGTGCAAACCGTAAATAACCACCTTTATTGCATATTGGGCATATAAATGATTCTTTGGTAATGTGTGTTCGAACATGAATATTCAAACTAGATTTATTTTTGAAAATGCATCCACAGGTATCACAGATATATTTTGTTTTAGTAACATTTTGCTTTTCAGGCTTTAATTTTTCATCACATATATGCTTTTTATAGTTATTATAATTATATGGCGGGCAATTTTTTTCTTCATTAAAATTGATATCACATTGTTCTTCAGATTCTACATTATCAATGATAAATATATCGCTAGTATTTTCTGATAAGCTTGACAAAGAGTCTAATACATCTATCTTTAGAGTATCTAATTGATTTCGAATGTAATTAGAAGATATTTCGCACTGTTTTATAAAATTGTATGCATCATTTAACTTTTGAACACATGAATTGCATATCGAACTGGCAACGTCATTTGTATCTGATATCTGAGAAAAATTAAGTAATGATAAGTTTTTCTAAATATAAATTATAATTATCGATTGATCGATCGATCCTACCTGTAAATTTGTTACTTTGTTTAATCTATCTAAAAGGTACGAAGGGATTTTTTTATAACCCCACTGACAATCATTTAATTCATTTCTATAAGATAAGCATGTGCAGCATCTTTCACATGTCATTTCTTTATTCCTGGATAAATAATATACTAGTTAATATGATAATGACTTTAATAATCTAATACATAGAATTTAAAGCATATTTGTCTTTTACAAATTGACAAATACAGGCAAAACATAAACCATGAACAGTGTGAAGTTTATATTAAGCTTATGCAGGAACACCAACCAAAACCTTTAGTGCGTTTTTTAAATATTGTAGAACCTCGATTATCCGGGTTGCATCCGGATACTTATACTTGTTTAGCTATGCTGCGTCCCCACTGCACGAATCCGTGCGGCGAATCCTGTTCGCGACGCACGCATGCGTTGGCTCTTGTGCGCGACGCACACTGCGAGCAATTTGATACATTTGAAATTTTAGGATTCCATAATATTTTTTTTCTTGATACAGTTCAATTATAAGAAGTGTAAAGAAGTATAACATCTTCTCTATACGCATATCCATTTTCAAAATTGAGGATAAGATGAAATATCTCAATGCCTTCACTGTACAATTGAACTTATAAACCGTAGCACAGATCAACGTTTTACGTTCAAATTCAAGTTACAAGTTCAAAGAAATAACGTATACGGATACAGAGGCAGGCTGACCAATAATTATCAGTTTTGAATAAAATTATTACTTCTGTTCTAAATATAAATACTTGTCAGAAAAGACTTTGAGCAAAAATTCAGTCTGCATATTAATAAGATTTTAAATGATATTTAGCGTAATTGCAATAATACAATATTACCATTTTTTTGAAATATTTAATTTATTTTGAATAATAAATATATGATACGTCATAAAGTAGTAGAGTATATATATATATATATTATATACTATATATATATATAGATATATATATCTATATATCTAGATATATAATATATATATATATATATATATATACATGATAATATCATGATGATATAAAATTAACTCTGAAATATGATAAATAAAGTCTACCAAAATATATTTTAGTTGGATATACATATATTTCAACATATCTATTCGTTAATTACCGATGTATTTCCTATACTAATAGTTAGATAAAATTATAATTAGTACATCAATTTTAATGACTGCTTACTTATTTACATTTTTGATCCGCGCTTTGACGCTAATCCATTAGTGTCGGTTCGGGTATTCTCGGCAGCCCGATGCGTCGGGTTGCTCGCGGCGGGAGCGAGCGCCGCGAACGCAAGCTATTGAAATTTTCGTGTCGCTTCGACCATGTTCGGCAGGGTACGTAATTCTAAAAATAAACACCCCCTCCCATTTTCAAACAAAAAAAGAAGAAAAAAGTGCGCTATGGACATGCGCAGTGGACAAATTTAAAGGAAATTCGTGCGTTCGCACAGTATCACTCCGCTGCGCAAATTTGTTCGTGACGCACCATTCGCCGCACGGATTCGTAACAGTGGAGACGCGGCATTGATCCGGTTAATCGAAAATCCGGATAATTCAAATATGAAGAATAATGTTTTGTTTATCAAAAATAACAAATACATACATAGATATCCAAAAAAATCGATGTTTATTAGAAAATTAACACTTACATATTTTCTTAGATTACATTATACATATTATATTAATCATGAGGTAAAATATTCAGATATGTAAAGTATCAATAAAGAAGTAAAGTTGCTTACAAATAATTTGTTGATCGTTTTTGTAAAAACCAACAATATAGAAATTCATCTAAGAGTTCATATGTAATATACGGCAATTGTTCTTGAGGTCTTAAATTTGCAGGCAGATAGCCTTCTATAACTAACTCAACGTGCATTTCCATCTGAAAACGAATTAATTGTTACAAGTCTATAATGGGCTTCTCCGGTCGAGGATGGATATTTTGACCTCTATTTAACCAACTTATAAAATTGATGTAATATTTCCAGGTAATATTAGCCTCAAATTGTCAGAAAAAATACAGGCAATAGGTCTCTCCTGCTTCATTCAAAAAAATACTTTTTATGTTACGTTAAATGATGCAACTATATAGAGTATAAGCTCTTAGAATATTACATTATTTCACATCCGCCTTTTTTAGCACCTTTGCCGGCATGCTGATCTTCATAATCATTATTCATTCTATTACAAGTCTGATCGGCTTTTAAATGTGGTGTTTCGGTAGTTACCATACTTGTAATAGGTTTAGATTTTATTTCCTTTGATAAAGTTGTTGTTCTATCTTTAATTCTCTGTAATGCTGCTAATGTATCCATATCATTACTTTGTTTACTCATACTTCCTCCTATATTTTATTTGTTAAATTTTATCTTATCCACATCACTTTATTTTGTTTTTGTTTGTTGAACTTGATTACTTTGCTCAACTTGGTGATTTTTTGGGGTAGCTATTGGTTTTTTTAAAGAATCTTTTATTCTATTTGCTTCACGTTGAGTATTAATTTTACTACATATATTTTTACGTATAAATTGATCTTATTCACTGCTTAAATTTTTATTATTGACCAATTATCTCAGAACAAAATCCGCGTTTAAAATGGCTACTTAGAGGCTCTTATTCGTCATTGTTCGTCATCATGTTCGTAGAAATTTAGCTTCGTGTCGTATGCTACTTAGGGGTCCTATGATAGTCGCAAATTTGAGCCAATCAAAATTTTCATTTTGAAATTCTAACCTGTTAATTTCCTAAAACCGTTAACATATTTTTGACAGTTAGTCTTAGGTTAGGATCGTTCCACAGTATTCATTTGTGCATTATATTCTGAATTACGTGCATATTCATGTATTTATTATATTTATTCGTTATATTTAATTATATATCTATATGAGTTAATTATAACTGGTATGTTCAACTGAATATAATTATTCAATGTTATTAAATACCTGTTTCAAGATAAAATCAATTCAGTCATATATTTAGTATTTAATAATATAGAAGATCTTTTAAAAAATGCATAAGATGCACCAAGATACAATACCCACTCATACAATTTTACTTGCTGAGCAAATTTATAGTGTAGCATTTTCACCTTACGAATGGTCACAGAATTTATTATGTATAGCGCTGCTTAATAAGATCACCGTTGCCAGCATAAGATTTCAGGTAATATTTGATATGTGTTTATTTTTTATGATTTGGTTTTTATTGCTACTAATAATAAAGATTTAAAACTTTAATTCACAGTCAAAGATAAAGAGATAAATTTGTTGTACTAAAACTTATATATTTTTTATAAGAACCTTAAAATTATATGCACAGCTATTTTGAATTTTGCATTTCTTGAAAATAACAATGTGATTACTATATATAATAATAATCTTTTCCTAATGCTTCATGAGTAATTAATGTAAATGAAATAAAGAAATATTAATACTTTCTACATATTATTCAAAAATTATTTAGGAAGCAAATGATGAACTTTCTACACCATATGATTGGACAATCCTGCGTGAGTTTCACAATGACAGTAGATGCCATTCGATCTGCTGGTCACCTGATACTTCGCTTTCTGTTATACCAAAGGTAAAATAGTTATACATTGATTTTAAGTTATAATGTTTTGTTAAGATGCTAATTTTATTTAGGTGGTGTTGTTTTGCATAGCCTGTGCTGATTTTCAAATTCGGATTATTAAAAGTAATATGGTGGATAACGATACTGTTACTGTATTATCCGGTCACTCTAATTATATAAATTCAGTAAGTTGGGAACCTGAAGGTGATTACATAGCTTCTGTTAGTGATGATCATACAGTAAAATTATGGACCACTAAAAGTACCACCAGCACAGATAAGTGTGTTGCTACATTAAATTTATCATCTCCTGGTATGGATGTATGTTGGCATCCAGAAGAGAATGGTAATATTTTATACCATATCTAATAATAATTCTAGAATATGAATACAGTATTTAAAGCTTTTCTATTTTATCTTCTTTATTTCATTCAAATTTTATATGTAAGTTCAATTTCAAATGTCCATTAGGAAAGTTATTGGCTGCTGAAAAGAATGGGCTCATACATTTGTATAATATACACTCTCAACAAGCTATATTGTCTTTGGATGCTGGAAGTGTTCCTCTTATGAGTGCTCATTGGGCTCCTTCTAATGGGGCTCGAGTAGCTGCTATAACTTCGGGAGAGTTAATAGTATGGGATATGGAAAAGCCGAGGTAATTAATTTTTGATTATGTGTATTTTTATTACGACTTCAACATTTTATTAGTTAATGGATTTATGGGTTAAAACTAGTTTTAAGATTGTTAAGTTGTAAAATCTATTAATTAATAATTGGTTGCACAATCTAATAAAAAAACTTATTGCAACATTATAATTTTACTAATTAATGAAGATAAATTGACTGGTTTTATATTGATTAATTATATAAATTGTAGTTATCAAAATATTTTATTAAGATACAATACCTACAATATCTAACAGTCACTTAATGTGATATGTATTTGTAACCTGATCGCTGAATATTTTCATGTTATATTTTTGAAATATAATTATATATTATATATATTTGAATTGATATATTTTTTCTATTATTTTCTAGTCGACCTATTGAAACAAGACCACTGCATGAAGATGGTGCATATTTCTTAAGGTTTTCATCAATCAGTGATCTAGTATTAGCGACAGTAGGTCGACCGCATAACACTTTAAAAGTTACTCATACAAGAATGAAATTACCGCAATTAACGTCATCACTTATGTTATTTGGAGGCTTGACCTGGCATTATATCTTGCCATATGTTTGTGTGGCTAATGACCGAAAATTATGTTTTTGGAAGGTTTCTTCTAAATAATGAATTTGAAATCAATTTTTGTACTATTAATTTGATCAAATATAGATTTCTACAAAAAGGATTCTTGTAATTATATTTTTAATATTATATTAACTTTAGAATAAAATAACATATTTTATTTATAACATCTATGTATTTGTACAACGTTTTTATTTGCAATATAGAATGATTTTGATATTGCACAATTTTTTATGTTTGAATTCTGTTTACTTTCCCGCAGATTTACCACGTGCTGAAAACTTCTGAATATATTTTGGTCACGTTGGCATTTACCACATGTTTCATCTCGGCAGTTGGTACCAAGAAATGTGAAACGTAAATGTCAATTTTCTAGGTTGAGTGATGTTTTAAATTAATTCTGGATGCCGGCATGTGCATAAAAATTATATAGGAAATGTAGTATATATGACTAAAAATTATATTTTTGAACTACTGTTTTCATATGTTAATTTTTATCGTATTCTTTAATTTTATAATTTCTCTTTTATTTCTTCCATAACCTCAAACTTAACCATCAATATGGGAAAAGCGAAAAAGCTTAAAAAAAACGCAAATGATGACGAATTGTAAGTAACTTTTGATAACACTACTCAATATTAATATATTACTAGATTTTCTAACATTGAATAATAAAATAATAGAGATAGTGATATTGATACTACTGATGCTGCAGTTAAAGAAACAACAAAGGGAAAAACTAAATCTAAACCACAAGAAAAAATTATAGACTCAGATAATGAAGATACAGGCAAAAAGAAAAAATCTTCAAAGAAAGACAAAAAGAAAAAGGTAGTTGACAATGATAGTGATGTTGATGACATCACTAATGAGATTGATGATTTAAATATTCACAAAGAAATTGAGAAACCGAAGGCTAAGAAGCCTGATATAAAGAAAGGAGGATTTGCTCTTTTAGCTGTAGAAGGTAAAATTTTGAGAATTGCATTTTAATGATGCTTATATATTTTCTTATATAAAAATATTAAAAACTTAGGTCAGCGGTTTCCAACCTTTTCTTCCTTGCGCCCCCCTTTTGAATGATAAAAATATTGCGCCCCCCTCCCATTCTTATTTTTCTAACAATTTAATTTAAAGATACTTAATATAACTGAAATTATGCCAAATAATACACAGTATTATAAAAAATATACATACAAACATAACTATTTATTATAATAATTTTCTGTTTCACATAAGTAAGATCTAAAATTTCTAAAGCATTATTTGCCAAAGTAGGAAAATCGTCCTTTACTGGTAACCAAAACTTAACAATATATTTTCGTCCTGAAACATCTGCGTCAATGTGCTATCACTAGATAGATCAATTATCATTTTCTGCTCTGCTATTGAATGACCAAAATCATCATGTTTTTCAATGACAAATGGATTTCTAATCCTTGCATTGATTTAATTAAATCGCTAAGTCTTTGAAAAATATCAACTAAATACGCAAATTTTGCGAGGAACTTTGTGTCCTAAAATAAGATTGCTCCATCTCTTTTGTTATCAGCAAGAACTATTGCAATTTCTTTTTTGAGTTCAAACACTCTTAGAAGTACTTTAAGTATTTTGCTGATTTGTTTTTGACACTTACTCAGCATTTAAAAATAATATTTTTGAAACAGCTTTGCGCCCCCCCTGGAACGGTATGGCGCCCCACCAGGGGAGCGCGCCCCACAGGTTGGAAATCACTGACTTAGGTATATATCAAAACATTATTTCTTGTTTTTAAGTTGAAATTGAGATAATAAGCAAATTACAAAGTTATATAAAATAAATAAATTCAATTTTTTATCAGTACTGTTATAAACTATAAAAAATAGTATTTTATTATGTTAACATTCTTACATTTTACTTATATATATATATATATATATATATATATATACATAACTATATCATTTTATATCATAAAAACATCTTTAAATATCTACATTATACAATTCGAAATTGTGTTAAATAAAATATTATTTAACTTTTTTTTTAATAGATTCAGCAGAATCAGCGCCAAGTGACAATGAAATTTCTGAATCTACTACTAATACTTCATCGAAAAATAAAAAAGCTAATAAAAAGATAGATAGAAGTGATAGTATTGAAGATAATAAGCCAAAACCTGATGGTGGTAAAAAAAGCAAAAAGTCTAAAAAGAAACGAAATGATAGTGAAGAAGATATAGAGAAAGTTTTAGCTGAACTAGAACTTGAATATTCCGGTGTCAAAAAGGATGTTAAAGAAGAAGAAAATGTGGGAAAAGTAGAGAAAGTAGCTCAGGTAGAAAAGCAAGCCAAACCAAGCATTAAAACTGAAATTAAAGATCAAAGTGAAGTAAAAGATGATACAAATGAAGAGTCTGGAGGAACGGTTAAAACTGCAGCTCAGAAGAAGAAAGAAAAAAAAGAGCGTGAAAAGCAGAAAAAATTGCAGATGAAGCAAAAGGTGTTCTTTGATAAAGTTTGATAAATAACTTACTAAAATAGTAAAGTCAAATGAATTAATTTTAATCATCAAAATATTATTTTTTTAATTACTTTTTAGGAAGTTAAACCTGTAAATACTGACCAATCTACAAAATCAGCAGAAGAAAGTAGTAAGCAACAAGTTGAAACAGTAGCGGGGGATGATGATGAAAATAAACAAGATGATGCAGAAGAAGATGATGATAAAAAGAAAAAAAAGAAGAAAGGTAATAATTTTGACTTCATCTTTAACATGTTTCGATAGCCAGATCTTCAAGATAAAGTGCTTATATTTATATCATTTTTTTAATATTTTTATATATTAAATAATTAGTATAAAAAATATTTGTATAAATTAATACGTTAAAGAAAATTTGTCTCATGATGGTGAATATAATAAATTAATATTATTATTTTTAGTGATGTTGATATGGGTTAAATAACATGTCAAATAATGAAAGAGAGCAGCTTTTGGCTGACTATATTTTTTTGGAAAAAAATTACTTGAAATTTTGTTTTAGGTGCAAAAGCAGCTGAGGATGCGAAGGCAGCGGGCAAAGGACCAGGCAAAAAAACAATTGCAGCAATGCAAGATGCTTTGAAAAAACTCCGAGAAGAACAAGAAAAATTGCAAAGAGAAGAAGAAGAAAGGATTCGCAAGGAAGAGGAAGCTGAAGCTGCTAGATTAGAACAAGTGAGAACAATAAATTGTGAATAATAACTCAAATTATTGCTCATTAGGATATATTTATCTAGTATATATTTTTTTGTTTTTCTATTTAATTTATTTCTTTTAATGAATTTATCAACTGATTTGTTTTTGATATACTTTAGATTAGGTTGGAACAAGAGCGGAAAGAAAAAAAAAGAAAAAGGAAAAGGAACGTAAAGAACGTTTAAAAGCTGAAGGCAAACTACTTTCTGCAAAACAAAAAGCAGATAAAGCTAGAGCCCAAGCAATGCTTGAATCTCTTAAGGCAAGGGGACTAGAAATGCCTGAAGTGGGAGAGAAGAAACCTAGGTTTGCATACTTTCGATTTTTAAGAATCTTTTTATTTATGTTTATTTTTTACTTATGCTATTTCATTATTCTAGAAACTTACTTCATGAATTGAAAATTTGAATTTAGAAAAATATGTTTCAACAAGTAAATTTGCATTGGTAAATTTATTCAAACATAAGTTAATTACTTTTATAGACTTGGAACAAGAATTCGACCTAATAAATCTAAACAGCAAGGTAATAAGGAATCTACGGAAGTGCAATCTCAAGTTGATGCTGATAAAGTAGGCGAACAACCAGCAGAGAATGTGGTTGAGCAAAGTGCCGAAACAAAAGCTATTGCCGAAGAAGATGATGTTAAGGATGCATGGGATGCTGATTCAAGCAGTGAAGAGGAAAGCACAACTGAAACACCAGGTTAATTTACAAATTATGCATTATTACTATAATACTCAAAGAACAAAGAACATATTTGTAGTAAATGATATTTTATTTTTATTGAAATGTTTATAAACTTTGTAGCAGTAACTGCAAAGTCTGAAACAAAAGTGGATCAATCTGCAGAAAGTAAAAAGGAAGAAACTTCTTCAGAAGAAGAGTCTGAAGAAGAAAGTGATTCTGAGTCAGAATCTGAAAGTAGCGAAGACAGTGATAATAGAACTGATGCAGAAAAGAAACGAGAAAAGGCTCTCCAGAGAATACAAGTACCACTTGCTAATGAAAATAAATCAAATATTTAAAAAAAAACTATTGATTTTATCAATATTTTAATTATTTACAGAAACGCAGAATTGATGCAGAACAGAATAAATCATTAGACAAACTGAGAGCTGCGGTGGTTTGTGTGTTGGGACATGTAGATACTGGAAAAACAAAAATTCTTGACAAATTACGTCGCACAAATGTGCAAGATGGTGAAGCTGGTGGTATTACTCAACAAATTGGTGCTACAAATGTTCCAATAGAAAACATAAAGGAGCAAGTTAAAATTGTTAAAGGGGTTAGAATTAAAATATATAGTTTATTTTGATTTGATAATAATAATTTTATTTTTTTTTGAAAACATGAAAAATAGTTATAGTAGAAAATAAATACAGTTGTTTAATTTTTAGATATCAGATACTGTATTCAAAATTCCTGGTTTACTGATTATTGACACACCTGGTCACGAATCTTTCAGCAATCTGAGAAGTCGAGGTTCTTCTTTGTGTGATATTGCTATCTTGGTAATTATAATTCAATTTTTAAAATAGTTTATAAAGCATATTAACAGTTTATATGTACATATATAATACATATTATATATGTACTAATACATTTATTTTAACACTAGTAAATTATGAAATATATAAGATTTTTATCCTAAGTGACGTTCAAATGAAATATGTATATAACACAGTTTTATGTTTTCTGGTTAATTTTTCAGGTTGTTGACATTATGCACGGTTTGGAACCACAAACTTTAGAATCTATTAACTTATTAAAAACTAAGAAAACTCCGTTTATTGTTGCATTGAACAAAATTGACAGATTGTATGATTGGTCAACTATGGCTAGGAAAGATGTACGAGACGTTCTCAAAGCCCAAGCACCGAATACACAATTAGAATTTGAACAAAGAACTAAAGAAATCATAGTTCAATTTGCTGAGCAAGTATGTTTTGTTTATTTCGTAGAGTCAGTACAAATATTATTTAAAAAAACTATAATTTACATCTAAAACTTTCAGAAGAATAATTACTTATTATCAAAATGACAAATTTTAATAATAAGCATATTCTCTTTAAATATTTATGAACTTCTTATCAATATGTTTTATTTTCACTAGGGTTTAAATGCAGCTCTATTTCATGAAAACCCAGACCCAAGAAGTTACGTTTCTTTAGTTCCAACTTCTGCCATAACTGGAGAAGGAATGGGTAATCTCTTAGCCTTAATTGTTGATTCATGCCAGAATATGTTAGCAAAACGCTTGATGTTTAGTGAAGATTTGCAAGCTACAGTATTAGAGGTAAAGAATTTTATTCATGTTATTTACAAATTTATCAAATTATTGATTATTAATTGAATTTTTAACATCAATAACCTGTAATAGTAGTTCTGATATAAAAATATAAGCTATACTTATTTTTATAAATCAGTGCTATATTGATTTAATATAATGTTAAATATATCAGTAATTTGATAAAAAAAAAAAAAACGAAACTTTGATTGAACAGTCTTATATCTATATTCCTATTTAAGGTTAAAGCGATACCTGGGCATGGTACAACCATTGATGCAATTTTAATAAATGGAACTTTAAGAGAAGGAGATACGATTATTTTAGCTGGTACTGATGGACCCATAGTTACACAAATTAGATCATTACTAATGCCACAACCAATGAAGGAACTCAGAGTTAAAGTAAGTATCCTGAACTGCAAATATATTTATAATTAGGTTTTTCTGTGATTTTAATAATTAAGTTTGTGTTATACATATTTGTGTTTTATATTTATAATGCTTATATTGAACACAAAGAAGTAGTTGCAGCACAAGGTGTAAAGATAGCTGCAAAAGATTGGAAAAAGCAATTGCAGGTTTAAATTTACAAGTTGCACAAAGCCAGATGAAATTGACATATTTAGGTACAATATTTATTTATTATATTATATATATTTATCATAATAACATTTTTAAATGAAGTTGAATTTATATCATTTATTCAATTAGTACATAAAATAACTATCATTTGGATTCATTACCATTATAAAATTTTACTTTGTAGAGATGAGGTAGCTAAAGAACTGAAAAGTGCTTTAAGTGGCATCAAGTTGCAAGAAAGAGGTGTTTATGTGCAAGCAAGTACATTAGGATCTTTAGAAGCCTTATTGGAGTTCCTTAAAGTCAGCAAAATTCCGGTAAGTTTCTTTTATAGTGAATTTTACATGTATATAATTAAAATATTTCAATTCAAATTTCTCAAATTGATTCAATTTGTAAAAAGTCAACTGTAGGAGTAAACAGTAAATGTATTTTTGCTTAAATATTTGCTTCATAAATAAAAAATAATATGTTTACATATTAAATTTAGTTCTGGAATAACATTTGCTACCATATATGTTGTAAATATGGTTTTCACTCACTAACTGTAACTACATTATTTAATTCGAATTTTT